ATTCATTATGACCATGAATAGCCTGATTTAAAAATGGGCAAAAGTTTAAAACAGATGTATCAACAAAGAAGATACACCAAAGAAGATGCTAAATACGTGTATGAAGAGCACTGGAAAATGAATATCATTTTCCACTAAGAAACTGAAAACTTATATCCACACATAGACACATACATGAATGCTTATAGCATAATTCATTCATAATTACCAAAATTTGGAAGCAACTAAGATATTCTTCAATTAAAAATTGTGATATATCTAAACAATGAAATATATAAGTCAATTGGTTAATAATGACAGTACATCTTTGCACAGTTTTTTTATAGGCGTGAGCCACTGGTGCCCTTTTTGCTTATTTTTTTAATTTAAAGAGTTGTCTTACTTTTACTTTCCACATTTGTAAAAAGTGTTATCTATTTTGCTTATTTAGATTTTTTTAAAATAAACCAAATAACATACTAATTCTTTTCTGAATTTCTCATTTTGGGTTTGATACCTTATGTTATTTAATTTCTTTTAGCTCTTTTAAAATCTGTTCTATGCACATGTGTTCCTGCCATGCTGTGCTTGTTTGCAAGGAAATTCTTATGTTTGATATTTGCTGTTCTTATCATAACTATGTATGGAGTCTGACCTCCCTACTTTTCTGCTTGTTAGACTTTCCAAGCTTTATCAAGCAAGACTGACTCAGTATATCTTGTCTAACTTCAGAGAACTCTATTTTCTGTTTTTTCAAAACATAATTTTATTGTTACGATTAATGTGTTGTACAGAGGGGTTACCATTTCATGTTGAGTAATGAGCACATTTCTTTCTTTGGACAATGTCAACCCTTCCTTTACAGTTTCCTCAGTTTCTGCCTCCCATCCCAGCCTGTAAGTTACACAGGTCATTTTCCACATAGTGCAGATAGTGTATAGAATGATGGCACTTGTTCATCTTTCCTCCCTTTCTGTGCCCCTCTATCCCCTCTAGAAGAAAACTCAAAGCACAAATACCACCACTACCACCACCATTAACAAAAAAAAAATTTAGCTGTGAAGAGTTAAACATAAATTTTAACTCTGGGGGCTGGGAAGGTGGTTCAGTGGTACAGTGCTCGCCTTGCATGCATGAGGCCCTGGATTCGATTCCTCAGCACCATATAAGCAGAAAAAACGCCGGAAGTGGCGCTGTGGCTCAAGTGGTAGAGCGCTAGACTTGAGCTGAAGAGCTGAGAGACAGCGCCCAGGCCCAGAGTTCAGGCCCATGACTGGACCCCCCCCCAATTATTTTTTAACTCTGAAGAGTTAAAAATGTATTGTGGTTTACTTTTCACACTGTTTGTTCCACTCTTCTATTGTCTTATAAACATTTTCCTGTTTTTGTTTTTTTTTAAACAGTGGCACTGGAATTTGAACTCAAGGCCTCACACTTGTTCACCTTCTTCACTCTGCCGGCACTCTATTATTTGTACCACACTTCCAAAACAGCCTCTTTTTGGTTTTTGGACATGGAGTCTCACAGACTTTACTGCCCAGCCTGACTTTGAACCATGATCCTCTAGACCTCAACTTCTCAAGTAGATAGAATTACAGGCATGACCCGTCTCCTTTCCTTTATCTTTGTTATCCCTGTCCTATTCTATTTCAATGCGACACCTGTTTCTCTGAGTAGGGTCCTACCCTGGAAGGAAGCCATGAAGTCAGGTTTTTTTAAATACGTAATTTTATTGTTGTTAAGGTCTTGTAAGAGGGTTTACCATTTCGTCAAGTAATGTGTACATTTCTCTTTTGGACAATGTCACCCTTTTTTTTTTCCTTTCTCTAGTTTTCCCCTCCCATCCCTGCCCACAAGTTGTAATATCCACATAGTGTATACTGAATACCGTGATTGCATTCATTCACTCTTGTGCCTTCCCTTTCTATGATCCCTATTGTCCTCCCCTAAGAAGCAAAAAGAAAAAATAAAGCAAACAAAGTGCACACAAACACTACTGCCACCCCCCACCACTACCAACAACATAAATAACATGTTATTTTACATATTCATGGGAATGATTCCTTTGGGTTCTTCCCCTACTGGTATCTTCTTTGGTCTGACTGTGTATGAATGCTTAGAGTCATGTGTAGCTTATCACGTCCAGTTATATTTTTGATCTAGCTTCCACATGTGAGAGTACCTGTGCTGTTTGTCTTTCAGTGGTGTCAGTTTTGAAAGTTCATACAGACCAATCTTCTCCAGATTCCTCAGTTCCCACAGCAGATATTGGTGATTACCCACTGATCAAGTGGGCACAGCCACCCAGGACCACCATTTGGTCCTCTGTGTCCTCCAGTAAATTCTCTTGGCAATCCTGTTCTGAGATCTGCTACCCCTTGTAGCCTTCCTTCTGTACTTTTTCAGCCACAGAGGCTAATAGGGAAGATTGTACTGTTGGTAATTTATCCCCATCTGCTTGTATTTTGTGCTGTGTGAGCCACTTGGTTATCTGTTCACTTATATTTTGCACATGCTATTTATGGTTACCTATTATATAGTTGTCCTCTTTTGATGTGAGGATCTGGTTAAAAACAAAACAATGTCACTGCTACCTCCCTTGAATAAACAATAAACTCTTATTATGAACATACAGTTACCAAAAATATATTATGTTCCCTTTAGTAGATCTTTATTCAAAGGAAAGTTTCATTAATTTTCCTGAATGTAATTCTTTTTAAATTTACTTATTGTTATTGTGAAAGTGATGTACAGAGGGATTATGGTTACATAAGTCCGATACAGAGTCCATTTCTTTTTGAACAATGTCGCCCCTTCCTCACTCCATTTTCCCCTCCTGTCCCCACCCTCAAGTTGATAGTTTATTTTCAACAAGTATTTAGTATCACCTATAAAGACAATAAAAGCCATCATTGAACCCATGCCTCCCACTCAAAGTCTGTGGAAGCTGGGCCATTTATATATTAGTTTCCTAGTGGCCTGGTAATAAACTACCACAAACATGAAAATGCACATTTGTTACCTTAAAGCTCTGGATGTCAGAAGTCCAAAATGGGCTACTGTCAAGGCAGAAGCAGGGCGTTATCTGTAGGCTCAACAGGAAGCCATTGTCTTGCTTCTTCAGCTTCTAGTGACTACCTGTGTTTCCTTTTTATTTGGGGGGGAGTCCAGTCGTGGGGCCTGAACTCTGGGCCTGGGCACTGCCCCTCAGCTCTTCAGCTCAAGGCTAGCGCTCTACCACTTGAGCCACAGCACCACTTCCGCTTTTTTCATTTTGCTTATGTGGTGCTGAGGAATTGAACCCAGGGCCTCATGCATGCAAGGCAAGCACTCTACCACTGAGCCACCTTCCCAGCCCCCATTTTTTCTGATCAAACATTACATCTTTACAATGGAATAAGGGTCAAGACAGAAGCTTAACTTTTTTAAAGCATTAAGCAAGCTGAACATGGTTGCACAAGCTTATAATCCTAGCCTTCAGAAGGCTGAGGCAGAAGGATTGTGAATTCCAGGTCATCCTGGGATATATAGGAGGCCACCATCTCAAAACAAACAAACAACAACAACAACAACAATAACAATAACTAAACCACACACAAAAAACCCTAAACCAACATAATGAAAGATTGACTTGTTATTAAGCTAACAAACTTCTGAGTCTGGCTTCTTCTTTCAGTTCTTATTTACCAAGAAAAAGAGAAGACTCAGATCCTGAGTCAAGGTTTTGTAGAGTGGTCAGTACAAGGGACAGCCAGCCAGTTCAATAAAACATCAAAATGTATACCTTGAAGAAATTCATTAGAGGTTTCTTATGGCCTTTCCAAATTGTCTCTAATTAGCATAGACTCTTATATGAAAACAACCTATAGAAAAGTTTGAGGTTTTTTAAAAAAGATGATGTAATTTTTCTCTGATTTGGAATGGTATTCTGGGCAATCTGGTTTAGGATTTATGGTTTTTGAATTTGTGGTCCATTTTAAAGGGACCATGAGCTTTGTTACAGTTGCTGTGGGAAATGTTTCCCCCATTCTAAGTACAGAAAATGGGAAGAATTGTGTGAATGCTACAGAAACACTTCCCAGGATGTTTACTTGGTCAGTAAGAGAAGTACTAAGTGGCTATGGTCACTCCAGGCTACTGTAGGTGCAGTAGAAATGCATGAAATGTCTAACTGCTGACAGTTAAGGCTGTTATAATTTATAATACTAATTGATAGCATTCTTTAAAGTCAGGAACACTGATTCATTCATCTTCAACCATAACCTATTGTCTCTTTGAATAAATGCATTATGTACTAAAAATCATTGAAGTTTGGCTTGGAATAATGTCAGAGCCACTGAAGGAAAGATTTGCAAAATCAACTAATGTCAATGATAGCCCATGCTAAGTACAAAAATCAGGATCCCCCATTTGGAATCTCAAATAGTGACAACTTCAATTAGTTCTTATGATTTCAATATTTGGCTAGCTAAACATTGAAAGTGGTCTTGGAGAAAACAGCCCCACAGCAACTCTGAGCTCTCAACTTTTGAACATTTCCAGTTCTTCCATTTCTTCCTTTATTGTTTCTATTCTGCTTCATCTGATAGCAACCACCTGTTGAAAGTGGAAGTTTCCCATAATTTATATTCAACATATTGATATTTAGAAAGAGTATGTAACTAAAGTAGGAATGATCTTTTCCATTGATAGGTAGCTGCAGGTTAAAGATGGTAGCCCTTTCCTCTTCCTGTCACTCATTTTCTCCATAACCTCAGATAAATGTTTATTGTTTTTATGATAATGAACAATCTCATGTTACATGTTCCAGGGAAATGTCTAAAATCTTTTACTCAAAAGTTTCATAATGACAAGCTGTGAAAAGAGGGTATGTATACATACCATGGGTACTTTTACCATGATTTCCCTCACCTTGGTTTGATTAAAATCTCAACCTGAAGACTGTAACAACTCGGCTATCTTCAAAGTCTAGTTGTTTGTTTCACTTTGAGAAAAACCTCAAAGTGGGGCATGAACCGTGGCAGAGCGGAAGGAGAAGTTAAGGACTGAGCTGCTCTGCCGAATGGGGTTTGAGGCAAAACCCACAGAAGACTTAATGCCTGTTCATTTCGTTGCATAAAGTCATTCTGGCTTTTTCTCCTGTCCCCTTCCTGCAGCTCGCCTCTTTTTTATTTATCTCTTATGTTCCATTCTGGTAGAGACCCTGATCCAACTCTGAAGAACTGAAGGGCAAAAGGGATGCTTTTTCTATCTCTGACATATTCAAGGAAAGAAGACTTTGCCTGCCATGTTTGGAACTGGGAAATCATTTGGGGTTCTCTTCCTAATCCTACATCTGAGCATCTGTAGCATCGATGGTAAGGCAATTGTGTAGAATTCTTTCTAGTTTAATGTCCTAGGGGGTCATGGAGGCACTGCTTGTCCTTTGCTTAGACTTAGTAAGGTACAACGTTTTTTGCGAAGTAGGTACTGACAGATGAATCAAGCAGTTAGACCTTATAGGACTAAACCAAATTAAGAAATGGTAGTCACCTGCTTGAATAGTTAAGTATAGATACTACCCATCAGTTGGCCAATGTCCCTAAAATTTTGGTTGTAGTTAGAAAAGCGCATTGAGCAGACATAAATAGAACAAGTAAAAATTTATCCGTACTACTAGGCAAAAGCCTTCTGACTTCCACACTGAAGGTGAATAAATAGCATGTTCTTTCTAAAATGACTCCAGCAGAATGTTGAAGTGCTCATTTAGGCAGGACAGGTGGTGATGAATTTGGATTATATCTGTCTCCATGGTTATGTTGTCTCTAAATCTTTATGCTTGTTTCCGTGCGGTTTGCGCCTTGAGAATACTAAATGAGAAATTTAGGAGCAGAGCAACTCACATTGTTCCTAATGAGCTGAAAAGCGAACACGGGAATGTTTGTGTTGTGCATAAATGACATTTGGCCATCCTTTTTGAGACTATATGTGGGCAAAAAAAAATGGCAGTTCCTTTCTCTGAGGACTCTTGTTCCCTTACCTTGACACAGGAGGTGTATATTATAAAGGGAGAAGAAGGCCTAGGAGTGATCAGTAGAAGATTTTCGTAGTTAACTGAAGATAAGAGTTTCACAGTCTCTCCTGCTTGGGCTGGCTTTGAAACGCAATCCTGAGATTTCAGCTTCTTTAGTAGTTAAGATTCCAGGAGTGGGCCTGGCTCCCAGCTCAAATATGTTCTTTTATTGCTTTTCATAAGCACATATTTATCCGTTCTTGTGCTAATGTTTTGAATGATAAAATGCAATCACTGCGGTCCTGTGAAATGTCATCTTAAAGTCTAGAACTTGTAGATTGGAATTTGACTCTATGATATCAAGATGTCACCCAACCAGATCCAAAGTAAAAATGTCTCCAGTCATCCAAGTATTTTGTTGTTGTTGTTGTTCTGTGGTTTGAACTCAGGGCCTAGGTGCTGTTTGTTGTCTGAGCTTCTGTTGCTCAAGTCTAGTGCTCTACTACTTGAGCCACAGCTCCACTCTAGCTTTTGGGGGGTTAATTCGAGAGAAGAGTCTCATAGGCTTTTCTACCCAGGCTGGCTTTGAACCACAATTCTCAGATCTCAGTCTCTTGAGTAACTAGGTTTACAGATGTATGCCACTGGCATATTAAGTTGAGTGGGTATTTAAATGGGTGACTTGAGGATGTTTTTAAACTTTTGATCAGATGCTCACAGTCAGTTACATAGCTACAATTAGAGTTAGAAATTATTCAACAGAATGTATCCCAGTTTGAAGGCTCTATTATATACTGTTCTGTATGAAATAAGGGAAGTGTTTTTTAATGTTATCCTGTAATTGGTATGTAGCATTACTTACACTTTTTCTCCCAATGTGCTGTAGCCTAGTGTTCCCAAAAATACACCTGCTAGTTAGAATTGGTTTGCCACTCACTGTGTGAGATATTGGTTACATTTCTCTGTGTTCTTTCTTCTTAATTGTGATATTCAGTATGGTTGATGGATTTACCTGTAAATGCAATACTCCTCATCTCACCCAGATGATACTGGTCTACACAAACTGGCCATTGACTTGGGTTGAAACAGACATTCCAGGGTCGATGATGTTTTAAATCTATTATTCCTTGCAATTTAAGTTTTGTAGTACTGTGTCTTTATCAGGCTCATGTCATGACTTCATTTATTTTTCCTATGGATATGTGAGAAAGAGCTGTGTCATCAATTAAATGCAAAATACTTATGTGGTGTTTTCTCAAACATGTCTGCTATTTATGAAAATGTTTAGAAGCAGATTCTTCAGTTTCAGGATTTCCTGGATTAAAGTCATGAACAGATTAATCCTCATGCTGATTACAGCTTTGAATTGACTCCTTGAACTTATCATTGTTTCCTTTGTCCCATCGTAAGAATTTCTGCTGGGAGAGAGTAAGGGAAGGGTGACATTGTCCCCCCCCAAAAATGTACTCTTTACCTGACTTATGTAACTATAGTCCCTCTCATCACCTTGGTAATAACAATAAAAATTATTTATTTTTTAAAATATTTTGTTGTAAAGTTGTTTACAGAGGGGTTACACTTACATAAGTAAGGTAATGAGTACATTTCTTGTCAAACATTGTTACACATGCCTACATTTTTCTCCCTCTATCCCCCACCCCAAATTATTTAAGAAGTGTCCTCTATTGTGACCCTGAAGTCAAAAGTTATTGTCTTTTCTACCTGGAATTTTCCTATTTAGTTTCCATTATCTGTGAGTTTTGCCTTTACTTTAGAGTTCATAATAGTAGAAAAAGGTAAAACCAATGGTTTGCTTAATTTCTTGTCTATCACAGTACGTTCTGAATGAAAGTAAAATATTGCCACTGTAACAAAATTACAGATGTTTTATACATTTAGTAACAATTTTAGTTCTCCAGGAAATTATTTACATATCTGTGTTCATCTCTATCAATGTCAGCTCAAAAATAAACTATCTGAACTTACCATTGTCATTAATTTTTTCAATAAGCGTAACCATTTGTAGGAATTTTTCAGTGGAGGGATGGTGACTCTGTTGGGAATTTCCTTGCAATAATAGCTATAATCAAGTTATAGAATCTCCAAAAAAAGGAATAATAACTTTCACAAAATATTCCAAATCACAATCCTATAACTTTACTTGCTCAGGAGGAAGGTTCTAGACTAGGTTGCTGTCTGTTACTGGCATTCCTTTCTGATGAACCAGTTTGGATGACTGTGGAATATCAGTTAGTAAGTATTTGAATTTCCACCACTGAGTGGACATAAATCAGGTCTTGCCACATTGAAGAGCTGAATGTCTCGTTTTTTGTCAGTGGTTAGAAGTTAACCACTACAGGATATTTTAAGATGCTTAACCGCGGTGCAACCTCTCAAAAGACACAGCTGTGTCTACCCTGTTGCCCTTAATGGACAAGCACAAGTAGCATTGTGAAAAGGCTTTCTTCATGAGCCTCAGGAAACATGATGTCTCTCCCCTTCAACTTTTCTAAGGCTGTCTCCTCTTTTTGCAGAGGTATCATGCAATAGGAAGTGGTAGACCAGAGAGAAAGCAAATGTGTGAATGTAAACATAGCTGTAATGGTATGGGGCATATCACACAGAAAAGTATGGGGATTCTACTGAGAGTATGTTTGGTGTTAATTATGTCTGTGGGAAGAGGGCCGTTTGCCTAGAATGGGTCTGGGAATAAGAAGAGACTCATCTTTCCCCCCAAAGGCTTTTCTTAATTGACACAGATAGAAGGGATATCTCTTACTTTGGGATTTGAAAGCTTTAAGAGATTTTGTTGTATTTAACAATCTAATTGTGAGATGATATGAACAATTTTCTGACTCTCCTTTGCACTAAAAATTGTCACATTTCTGAATTGTGGTGGGCACTTGAATGGCCACACTTTTGGTTTGTGAGCAATAAGAAGGTACATTGCTTTTACTGTGTATTTGTAATTGTCACCATACACAACACGTTCAGAACAATGTCAGTGCTAAATTATTGTCCCCCAAATATTTTTGGTCTAAGTTTTAATAGTTATGTCCTCATTATGTTACTGTTTAGTTCTATTAATATGTATGTAATTTTCAAATGAGCATATTTACAGTCTTTATCCTTTATTAAAAACTATATTCCATGCGCAAATTAAAAACTTCCCAGCTATGTATTTGTGCTGGACACCTATGAAATCAATTCCATGTCCTTTCAAAGAATAAATTCATAATGTTTAGAATCACTTGAGTTTAGTTAAGGTATGGTCCACCCTAGTGTCTTTTGGGCTACCTATTCCTGACCTGTGGCTGTCCATTTAGATAAAAAATAATGCAGCACCATGGGTGTGGTTTCACTTCTGTCACTATATATAGCTCTGTTTCATTTTACTTGCATTTAAAGTTTAAAACAGTGAAACAGAGTACAAATTATTAGGCGCTGGTGATTCACGACTGTAATCCTAGGTACTTGGGACACAGATCTGAGGACTGCAGTTTGAAGCCAGCTGGGACAGGAATGTCCATGTAATTCTTATCTTCAATTAAGCCCTCCGAATCCTGCATTTGAGCTGTGGCTCAAGTGGTAGAGCCCTACCCTTAAGCAAAAACAGCTCAAAGACAGTATTCCCAATCCTCAAGTTCAAGCCTCAGGACAAGCACAAAATAAAAACAAAGACTATTTAGGAGCTATAAGATATCCATAATTTTTACTATATGTCAGTGATGTAGTTAGGACTAACAGCCAGCTGTATGGTAACTGTGCACCTCTCCCAAGCCTATAGTCACTGAATACTAGAACTGGAAGGCATGATGAATGGTGCTACTGGCATCAAGCAACAGTGTTTTGGTTAAATGGAATGGTAATACATTTCAGTAAAACAGGCATTGCAGACTACAAATGATTTGAAGTCACTTATTGAGAAGTGCCATCAGATTTATCTTTGTGTTGGAGTGAGCAAATTAAGAACTTCCTGTTTTGTAGTTCAGTCCTTTATTTTTTTAAGAATTGGAGACTGTTGGGATTGGGTGGCTACATCAAGTTTGTTTAATATGTTAGCATTCAAAACAACCACATTAAAATGAATGTGAGTATATTTATAATGGGTGTATGAATGCTCCATTTATTTTAAAACTGTCTTGTATGCCACTTTCAGAAAACCATGATCCAGTTGTGGATCCATTCCTTGAATTGGCCATGATATTTCTGGACCTGAAATTTTGTCTCTCCATTTCCTCAGTTCCATAATACCTTGTCAATGCTCTGATTCTCAAAAGACGGTTCACTAAGTGGTCTGTAGGTCAGGTTTCATAAGTGGTTTCTCCCTACTTATAGCATTATTCTCCAAGTCATTATGCACCTTGATTTCCCATTAGAAAGCAAATTCTACAAAGGTAGGCATCATGTCTTAATTTTGTATTTCCTAACAGCTATCATATAAGTTCTCTGTGAACCCTTTTTTCAAGCTCAGGTAAATTTGAAGAGAAAAAGAGTGGTCGATTGTAAGTTTATTCCAGTTTATTATTATTAGGTAATTTTGTTTTACAATGAAATAGTCAGATCCTTGAAGATGAAAGGTCTTTGTCTATAATCATCTTGTTTCCCACAGATCTAGCTCAGGTTATATGCTCATAAACTATATAGTTTCACTTGGCTTTTCTGTCTCTGGCCTCTTGGCTTGTTTGTCATAAATCTTAACCACATCTACATGTTGTATTACTGACACTTCCTATTAGCAAACTATCTTACCCTTTCTCTTCAAAAGTTTTGGAAAACATCATCCTATAACTTACCTTTTAATTTGCTTTCAATTTTACACTGAGTTTTTGAAGCCAACTAAATTTAGGAAGTCCTAACATGAACTAATTTGAAGTCTTGACACCGTTATAGATAAGTAAATCATTGGGCATGGTAGATTCCTCCAAACTCAAAGTTCAGTTATTCTAAGCAGAAGTTAGTGAGCTATTAACAGAAATTATAGTGAAAGGTTTAGTAAATATAAGGAAGTAAATAAAAAGAAGATTCATGCAGGCAAGGGTGTAGAAATAAAGTGGAACATTGTTCTCAGTAGAGAACATATAAAACCCAAAGACAAATAAACCAGGCACTGGTGGCTTACACTTGTAATCTTTGCTACTCAGGAGGCTGAGATCTGAGGATCATGGTTCAAAGCCAACCAAGGCAGAAAAGTCCATGATGGTGACTCACCAGTTAACCACTCAAAAAAAAGTCAGAAGTGGAGCTGTAGCTCAAGTGGTTGAGTACTAGCTTTGAACAAAATAGCTCAAGGATAGTGCCCTGATGGGTCTGGGAACATGGCTTAGTGGTAGAGTGCTTGCTTACCATGCATGAAGCCGTGGGTTCGAGTCCTCAGTACCACATATACAAGAAAAGCCGAAGTGCTGTAGCGCAAGTGGTAGAGGGCTAGCCTTGAGCATAAAAGCTCAGGGACAGTGCCCAGGCCCCGAGTTCAGGCCCTAGGACTGGCATAACCATCTACTTAGAGAAGGGGTGTGTGTGTGTGTGTGTGTGTGTCCCGTGTATAGGCAGGCTGTCTTTCACTGAGCCACATCTGGCTCCAACAGGTTTCTCTTTTCATTGTTCTTGGCTCTTAAGTTTAGTTGAGATGTTCCAGTTACAAGGCAGCTTTCCTGATAAGTTGAATATTTTCATGACATAACTTGTTCAATAATAGAAAATTAAAGTTTTTTTCTGTGCTATTTTTTGTATTCCTGGCAATTACTAACTGTTTATAGATTGTAAGATTTAGTTTCAGGAAAAATTTCCCATCTCCAAAGTAAAGAGAGGCAGACTTTCAGTTTTGTCTGACCAATATACAGAAATTCCAAAAGAGATGGAGCAGTTGTCCTTGACTAACTAGCTCAAGTTGTGTGTCTCCAACACAGAATACTTACAGACAAGACTGCAATGCAGTATTAACAATACTGAAAAACAGAAAAGACAATTCCTGAAGCCAAGTGTTTCGGGGAAATGATTGTGTACAAAAATTTCTCTCTTTGGAAGTGGCTCTGTGGCTCAAGTGGTAGAGCGCTTGCCTAGAGCTGAAGAGCTGAGGGACAGCGCCCAGGCCCAGAGTTCAAGTCCCATGACTGACAAAAAAAAACTTTTTTTCTCTCTTTTACTTAATGTAATATCAGAGCTGGTAATAGAAAATCTGAAGTACCACAGATTAATGAATTATAGAGAATTATAGACTTCAGTATGACTTTAAAAATCCTGATCTTAATTCTAATAATTAGCACATTTCTGTAGGCAAATTTTTACTAGCTCAGTTTCCTCATCTGTAAATCAGAGCTAGAATCTGTCTGCCCATCTGTCTGTCTATCTGTTTATCTATATAATAAGTATATGTCTAGTTTTTGTTGGAAGGATTAAATTTGTTTGATTTTTTAATGAAATATTATATGTGTGTTAGGTATCAGACACTGAACTAGTGAAGGTTTTGATTTTTGTGGGGGTGGGCTAGTGAGGGTTAATTGCTAGTAAATGATTCTTGAGGAATTTTTGTCAGGAGCTGTTGCATTAGTATATAGTATTTGCAAAAGAGCAGATTTGATTTTTATTTTGTCTCATTTTTCAGGAGAAGAGTCATGTGAAATTCAACTTTATGTTAAGAGACATTTAATACATGTCACTGCAGGACATCAGTTTAGAATGGAATGCCCTGTGAAATACTGTGTTAGCAGACCTAATGTGAGTTGGTGCAAGTTCAGTGGCAGTGACTGTTTACCCTTTGGGAGTAAAGTTTCGTCACACACAAGTTGGGAAGAAAAGAAGAATATTTCCATTTTCAGCCTTCATTTTCACTCAGTGCTTCCTACAGACAATGGGTCATACCGTTGTTATGTGAATTTTTCTTCTCAGTTGATTACAAGCCACTCAATAGTCATAAATGTTACAGGTGAGTTCTCAACTCCCAGAGTGTCTATTGTTTTCCAGGAAAGAGAAGATCCAGGTTCTCAAATAATTGAGTCAGAGACTGAATTCCTATATTGATCAAAAACCTGACACATCTCACAAAATGAGACCTCTAAGTCCATATGGCTCTCTGTTTGAGTTTGTAAAGGAAGGTGGTGAATAATATATATATATATATATATATATATATGAATGGAGAAAAATGTAGTAATAGTTATTGTTCTTTGGGAATTATAAAACTGGTGTGGTAACGCCTAAAGTACATTGAAATAACTAAAAAACATGAACTAAATATGAATGCTTTTAGCTTTTTATTCTTTGTCCTTGTTTTTTCTTTAATTTAAAAAATATTTTTCTGTCTTTAACTTCTGTTAATTTCTTTATAAAAAATTCTGTTTGTAATGCTTGGATAAGTGCACATTCATTAGTAGCTTACAGTGTGCCCATCCAGAAAGCAACATACTGATAGCCTGACCGATGAGTTTGGGGGAAGAGTTAGGGCTTTGGCTGATTCCCCAGATCCTCCCCAGAGGCCTCCAATTAGATCTAACAGTTTAGAAAGTACAGGTGAAGGTTAAACTGGTGAAAGCCAACTCAGCAAAGCATGGGAAAAAGTAAAAATGGGGGAGTAAATAGGATTAAAAATTCCATTCAGCATTATGTTCACTAGTGAAAGACAATGCTGGCACCATGCCTTGTGTCTCCTGTCACCATGGTGTCCCTCTTCAACTCTCCATTAAAATTGATCAGGTTTGTTGAGACTGTTTTCCTGCTCTTTCTTTATTCTATGACCCCCATGGCTCAGTTTCCTAACAGTATTAAGTGTATTTGAGGCTGCAAGTTTGGGGGAGACATGCATCCACTTGCAGTCACCAGCTTCCTAATAAACACCCCAATTTGACCTCTCAAAAAAAAAAGGCTGAATGTTTTTCTCCTAAGAACAGGATCATGATAAGGATGCCTGCACTTGACATTTCCATTCAACTTGAAGTCTGAGCCAGAGCAGTAAGAGTGAGAAATAAAAAGCATCTAAAATCAACTATACACTGCAAACTATCTCTATCAAAAGTGGCATGGCCTTGTGTTTAGAAAATTCATTAAAAAAACTACTTGATACTTGTATTCATCAAAGTTGTAGGATTCAAGAATTAATGTATAAAATTAGTGGTACTTCTGTACTCAAGTAATGAATACTCTGAGAAGGAAATTAAGAGAATTTATTAAGAGAATTTCTAATACCTATGCCACAAACCATGTAATACATAGAGAGTGGGGGCATGGCCCAAGTGGTAGGGTACTGGCTTAATATTTGTGATTTCCTAGGTTCAATTCCCAGGACTGGAAAATAAAACAGGATAAAATACATAGAAATAAATTTAAGCAACAAAGTACAAAACTTTTGCATAGACAAAAAAAGCATGAGAGCAAAAAAAAGAGATTCAAGAAGATATAAATGAATATAGACATTCCATGATCACAGACTGGAAAACTTACTATTCTGAAGATGATACTATAGATGATCTACAGATTCAGTGTCATTTCTCCTAAAGTCCCAATAGCTTTTTGTCCCTAAAAATGGGAAGGTTTATCATAAAATTCATATCAAATTGACAAATCCAGAATCGCCAAAGAAATCTTTAAAAAGTGAGAACAACACTTTCTTATTTCAAAGCTTAGTATAAAACTACTAATAACCATATGGAACTGACATATGGGTGAACACAGACATTGGTGCAATTGAATTGATAGGATAGAATAAAATGTATATGGTCAATTAATTTTTGAGGAGCATGTCAAGACCATTTAATGTAGAAAAGAAGAATCTTAGTAAGAAGTAGCAAGTGGGAATAAATCTCAATGTTATAGCTCTTACCTAGCTTATTCTAGGTCCTAGATTTGGTTTCCAGCACTAGAAAAGCCACACCAAAAAAAGGCTCATATCCTTCAAACAAATTGTATTGGGAAAATTATATATTCACATACAAAAGAATTTGAATCCCTTACTTTAGAATATATGTAAACAAATCAGAATGCATTAAGGATTTTAGAATAAGAAATAAAACCATAAACCTACATTTATATGAAACTACAAATCTACGTTCAAAAGAACATACAAAACAAATCTACATTCAAGTCTTCCCAAACTTACATTTGCTAATAACTTTCTAGATAGGATTACAAAAGCATGAAACAACCGAAAGAAATAGGATTTCATAAAAATTTACAACTTTTCTTTATAAAAGGGCATTATGAGGAAATGCCTTCAGCCAACCTACAAGCATGAGAACATATTTGCAAGGCATACATACATTTGATCAGGAAGTACTGCCCAGAATATATAAAGGGCTCCACTATTTATCCCCACGTACCTCTCTGGATTGTTTTAGGTTCCACCCAGAATCTGTCAGTTACTGTCTACAGCCTTCTGTTTCCCAGGTCTCTTCCACTCATTGGTCATCCATTTGTCTACTCCTTCAATACCCAAGTTTGAAAGGAAGCTTTCCAAGATTACCCTAGTGAAAGTGATTTTTCTTGTCTGTCTATTTTAATGCCATAAGGTCTGTGCCTTATCAAGTTTCCTTCTACTGTTGTAAAATGTGGAAATATGTGCCCTTTTTTTAAGTCTTAAGAAAAGATTACAATGCCTCAGAAAACAGCAATCATATTTATTGGAGTTGTCTCTGGTTTTATTTTCAAAAGTTAGATACATTATTTAACAATTAGGTTTGATTTTAATGGGTGTGGGTTTTCCTTTAGTGAAGCAATGAAAACAAAGATAACAGGGAAAGGGAAAAGAAGGATTTCCTTCTAATCCTGGGATTGCTCAGTTAACTAACTATGAAGCTAGGAAAGAAATGCATAAACATGTTTAAAGGCCATGATTTTATATGTAAATTTTGGAGATAATATTTTTTAAAATTCTCTTGCCTCCCCAGAACCATTGGCTCATTCCTATAATCCCAGCTATTCAGGAGACTGAAATTTAAGGATCACACATTCAGAGCCAGCTCTGGAGGACAAATCCTTGAGACTGATTCTCCAATAAACCAGCAGAAGGTTGAAGTAGAACTCTGGCTCAATGGTAGAGTGATAGCTGTGAATGAATAAGCCAAGTGAGCATGAGCCCCATAGTTTAAACAACAGTGCTGGTACACATACATACACACACACACACACACACACTCACACACACACACACACACACACACACACACACACACACATATATATATATGAATGGGTTGGTATAAGTATGTGACATAGTAGTTAGTCCCATAGTAGGGATTTTGGATGCCCTTGTGAAAGCAATAATTTCCCAAAATGAATAAAAGCACTTTGGAAATCAAAATCCTGGGGGACAAGAGGACAGAAATGGAACATTCATTGGCCTGCAACTCTGTTCTCCTCACCTGTCCTTGGGTCTATCTCTGATTAGGGGTTTGGAGAGCACCTTATCTGAACTGGAAAGTGGGTGTGAAGTAAGCAGACAGTGACAGACATAATCTCCATCTGTTTCACAAGAAACACCCAGGATGTCACTAAAAGTACACCTTCCCTGCGGCAGGCCATTCAAGTGGTCTTGTGTCCTTCCTGGGAAAGAGGAAAGAAAAGCAGATAGATAAAGATTATGCTGTCTGCACAGAGTGTTTCTTTGGGCCTGACAATAAACATTTCATAGTCTCAAAGTGATGCTCCATTAGGCAAAATGACTTTGGGACTGGGTTATTGGATTCCCTGTTAGTGTGCAGATCCCCAAGTCCTCTCTGAGATTAGCTTTAATGTTAAACATACCTAAGTGGACACTTCACTGTATTCTCAACTAATTTCAATTCTTCTTCTTCTTTTTTTTTGGTTTTCAATTGCAGAGCAGTCTCAAAATAATTCAGAACGACCTCTAATTAGTAAGTAAATAAATAAATCAAACAAAATTGGTGATTAGAAGACACAATAGAAGTTGTATCGCCATAATTGGGTGTATTTATACACTCTGAATTGTGTGTATTTATTTGTATTATATTTATTATCTGTTGTTTGGTATGTAGCTCCTCTCCCTCTCAAGACAGCTATGTTTGCTGCTTCTGGTAATGATTTGGCTCTTCGCCCAACCCAAACAGCAGCTGCAGCATGAACAGTATGAGAGTGCTTACCATTCCGAATTACCAAACTGTGTATAATATGGCCAGCTTAAATGGCCTCCTGACCTCCAAATGCTAAGCATCTAAGTGGGATGAGGACTCACACACATAATGGAGTACTATACTTCAGTCCTCTCCAGGTTGTGCTAACAGTAACTCAGAATAAAGAATAATTCTTCCATCATAACCCAGAATACACTTGTATGTATAAGTGTGTATGAAAGCTCCACATGTGCATTCTTACTAAGGTGGATAATTCATTGTGGTGAGGGAGGGAGCTCTGTGTAGTATAGTTTAGTAGAATTCCTGGGCTCTCCTCACAACCAGCCTTTCTGGCCAGCCTTCCTCTGATTTCATGACTTCAAAACCCTCTCTGGATATTGCCACCTGTTTCCCCTAACTACTTTTAGCATTGACTAACATTGCAGATATAACCAATACTTCCGGACCCCCCTCCATAGAAGAGATGGCACACAGGGGATGGCTGCTTCACAGTTTGCTTCCTGTGGGGGCACTGCCACTACTCATCATTGCCTGTCTCTGCCTGATCTGTGGCCTGAAAAGGAACCAAGGTGGGTTCCAGTTTCTCTTGCCTCTCTCTGTCACACATTTTGAGTTCCTTAGATGGGGACAGAAAAAGAGCCATTGGTTTTTACTGTCTTCTTTTCTGATCTCTGTGACAAGCCATGGATAATGATCTCCTGGCCTGTGACTCATTTCCACCAAGAAGCCAAATGGATTGATTTGGACTGCCACCTGCTACAGTGAGGCATGCCTTGCCACAAGACATGCTCCACTCAGTTCCTCAGTTGTGGTATTTTCTCATTTTATTTGCATCTCAGGGTTGAAAGGGTGGCTGAAATAAATTTCTTGGGTCCACATGTTTGACTTGAGTTAATCTCCCTACCTCCCCCCACCTACATTTCACAACTAAATGTCATCATGCCTATCCAAATAAAGAACCAATGTCCTTTGAGAGGATGCATGCTTATGTGTGTATGTATATACTTTCTATTGCCATCATAAATGTTTAAAGTGAGTATTGAACAATGTCAAATTGAAAAAAAATGTGGGTTGGGCTATGCTTGGCAAGGTGTGATGTATTGAAAACAATTCCTATCTCCTTTTGAAAATATTACTCCAGTCTCACCACCAAACACTTAAACACAGAAAGCAAAGAATGCACAGAGTATTCTGATCTGGCCCACGTCAGCTTTTCCTTTCCTTTCATGTCTTCTTATCCTTTCTTTCCCCAACATCAGACAAGATATGGCTTATCAATGATCCAGACAAAGCAACCCTTAAATAGTTGTCACGGGAGAAAGCTTTGTCTGGGCAGAGGTGCTTCTGGTGTTTTGGAGTGAGGGCTTCTGGAATGCAGAACCTTCATCATCTACAAACTGGACTCTGAGTTTATAACTCTGCACCTCTTTCCACAATTTCTCAGTTGAGTGCAAGACTTAAAGAACATCTCTCAGAACTTCAGAAAAAAGATGTTGGGATGTGTATCTTAATTTATCCCATTCCAATGTGACTAGGCACCTGGCTATGGATGTGACAAGACCATGTCTGCCATTGAGTTGGAATAGCCCAGAGCAGAGACTTCCATCCTTCTCAACTCAATGACCTTCCCCTTCCTCTGGGTGTGGCATGGAAGCCAAGGCAAACAGACAAGAACCAAACCGAGCATGCCCACTGTTATACGGCAGGATAGGTACAGGTGGTTCAGCCCTGTCTCCTTCTCTCCTAATTACTTTCTTTTTGTTTGTCTTCCAGGGAAACAGAAGAAGACTTCAGATTCAACAGGCAGGGAAATTGACCTGGTATGTTCGATGTATCTGTTAAGACAAATACAATTATATACATACATACGCACATGGATATATGTATATACACATACATATTGCATTAAATATATTTAATACGCTTATATGACACGATGAGCAGATACTGTTTACACTCCCCCCTCTCTCTTTTTCTCTCTCCCTCTCTCTCCACATAGCAAAGCTCTTTTAAGTGTCAAAACAAAGCGTTCTTTGTGAAACAGATTGGAAACGGTATTAAATCCTCTTGGTTCAGCCCTTGCCTGTTATGTGGCTTCTGATTATTCATTTATTTTTACAAAATTACTTTAAAGGGTTTTCTTTTTTTAAGCAGGATAGTAGGGTGTCAATGAACAATGAACCTAAAAAACATTTTCACTTGTGGGTTATTTATCACAATAAGTCATAACGCGATCATAATAACTAGGTTTCATCATGAAACATCCCAGTAGATAGAGGCCTGCCCCAGGCTTAGTTGCTATGCAGAATTTCCTGGGGATGAATGTGGGCTCATTAAGGAAGAGACTAGCCAAGGAGAAAAAAGGGCACTTTGTAGAGAATTTTTTTTTACAATATTTTGGGAATACATTTAAACTTCCTTTTGATTCAGAGTTGTAGTGATATTAGAATGCAAGATGAGGCAATATATCTGTGAAAAATGGGAACTTTAAAAATTAAATGTAAATAGTCATAAATGAGATGCTTCAAAGGAACTTGATTTGTATGTGCGCTGTGTTTCAGAAAGAAGTAGAAATGAACAATACGTCTATTGAAAATTACAAAAATGCCAGAGAAAGTTCTAGCCAATAATTCTCTCTACATATTAAATGGCAACCAGCATTGCATACCAAATTTCAAACCAAGCAAAGGATGTCTACTTTGATAAGATTGTATTAATATTTACTAAACATCTTTTCAGTGATAATGATTTGTTTTCTCAAAAAGGAACTTTTTCTTAAGTATAATTGTTCCCTATTCCATAGAACCATAGAACTAGATTCTGTCACCATCAAATGTGAGAACTGGGAAAGTATAAAAAATTACAATGTAATTTACTAAGCAAATAAACCATAGGTTGGTTTAAACTGTAGTCATATTTATTCCTATGTAAGTTAGGCAAATTATTATTTGAGGTTTAATATAAAAGGGGTTTTAGCCAGGTGCCCATGGCTCATGATTGTAATCCTAGCTATTCAGACCTGAGACTATGGAGACCTGAAGCCTTTGAGACCCAAGGACCTTGAGACCCAAGGACCACTGTTCAAAGCTAGCCCAAACAGAAAAGTCTGAAACTCTTATATTCAGTTAAACAACAAAAAGCCAAAAGTAGAAGTATGGCTCAAATAACAGAGTGCCATCCTTGCGTAAAACAAAACAAAACACTGAGGAAGAGCCAGAGGCCCTGAGTTCAAGCCCCAGAGCTGAGTTGGGCACACATTCATGCACATACTTGAACATGTGTGCATGCATGCACACATGTGTGGGTTTTTTTTTACTGTGTATATGATTATTGGGGAAGTTTCCTTTTAGTTGTCTTTGTCATTTACAGACATTTGAAGCTTTTCCCCATTTATGTTAACATTTCAGAAAATAATCAAAAGGATGCCACATTAGGTCCCTGCAAGGTTTTTTGTTTTGGTGATATTGAAAAGTGGAAGTTTCAGTCAATGTTAAATTGGCAATATGTCTATTGAGAGGCATACTCTCAGAAACACTTTGGGTTTTATTTGTTTTTTTTTTTGGTTGTTTTGTGTGTGTGTGTGTGTGTGTGTGTGTGTGTGTGTTTTATGTGCTTCCATTATTGTCTGGATTTTCCATTGCAAGGACCACAATACTCCTATATATTCCATCCAAATAGTTGAGATAACAGGTATTTACCATCACACCCAACTTGTTTTTTGGGGTTCCTGGTAACATTTTTTCTCTACTGAGGCAAAAGATCTCAAATTGAGATCTTACTGATTTCTGCCTCCTTAGTAGCTAGAATTGTAGGTATGAACTACCACTCCCAGCTAAATTTTTCTGAAGAAGAAACTTGTGTGGGAAACAGTGAGGCAATCCAAAGTAGAGAAAGGAACTATGTTTAAAAAAAGAAAAAGAAAATGAAAACATGGTATGAACTGTGAACCAAAAATCAGGAACAAATTTGAAATTTTTAAAAACCCAACACAAAAAACCTGAAGCAAAACTCATTCTTGTTTGGTGCAAACCAAAACACACAAGTTCAGTTTAAAGACTTAGTGAGTGCACCCTGAGATGAGACAGGATTGAGGCTTTTATAACAGTAGGGGGAAGGGGAGAACACAGCTCAGGATCCTTTAGAGAAAAGGCCTTGGATAAGCCTCGTGGTGGGAAACTGACCCAAATCAGGGAAGTTGCTAATTTTGCAAAGACACTGATGTATCAGTGCCAAGAGCAGACTGGTCAATCCTCCCATCTTCGCAGTCCACAGGGTATTGATAAAGTGCCAGAAAAGTTGGATTTTCAATTCTTGATGCATTGTGAAGCAGCCTACACCTGTGAGCAAACCTCTAAGGCTTTCAAAAGCATTCATGTTTTCTTTTTGACCCTTCAGCAACCACTTTAAAATCTGATTCCAAAATGGCAGTTGGAAAAATATAAACGTGCTTGTGTACTAAAAAAAAATCACTGAATTGTACATTTAAAAGGTTGAATTTTATGAAAAGTGAATTATATATATATTATATATGTGTATGTGTGTATGTTTAAAGTGCTTTATACACTGTAAAGTGCCATAGGAATACAATATAGGATTGCTTCTGTCATATTCTGTCTAGTGTATCTGTCTACCACCATATGTTACCCACCACTTTCTAAAGAGTTCCAGGAGAGCTTCAGGTGTGGAGTATTCTGTCCATTCTTAGAAAATTTTACATGAAAATGAAACATATTTGGGAAGAGAACTAGGTAACCCATAGACTGATTAGGACAGATTGAATTCAAGAGAGGGATTGTGTTATTGAGGATTTACATATTGAGGATTTATGGATGCATATTAGGTCATGTGACAGGCTCTTCTGTGTAAAGGCGAGAGCCATATTAGCAGCTGAGTACTAAATACCTCAGTTCTCACTACCTCAGGATAGGGAGACAAGCTTGCAGTGAAGATACAACAGACAAGGGAGGGGTCTGTAGGTTGTCAAACATTATGTAAAAACTAGTAAGTTAAAGGAGTAAGGTCAAGTCTTAAGGATCTAAATTGACTGGCAAAATTGAGATTACGTTTTTTTTTAAAAAAAAGAACAACTACTATCTTCATTTTTTAGTTTTTATTTATTTTATTATTATTAAGTAGTGATACAAAGAAGTTTCAATTCAATGGATCAGTACAACACATCTTGATCATAGTGTCTTCACTTTTACCTAGCAGATTATTCTTCCTACAGCCAGGAATGACTAACAAGCAACTGAAAAGAATGAGAAAACATCAAGACTCCTCTATTTTTAGTGTCAACAAGTATATTTCTTTGTAAGAAACGTGATATTTGACACTATCTGAAAGTAAGAATTTTCTTGGGATAGAAATAACAACCAGAATAAGATTTCAGAAATTTAGCTAAACTTTGCCCCTCCAAAACTGGTACCAGTTTTCTAATTCCAGATCTGACATCACAATTTGCCTGGGATAACTCATAGTATTTTTTAAAAATTCTTTCTTCCTCACTTTTTCCCCCTACTTTATGATTAATTACTTTAGTTTATACAATATTACTATTGCCCACTGGGTTATAAGCTGTTTGATGATTTTATTGCTTATCCAATAATTTGCTTTTATCTTGAAAAGGGATTAAAAAGCCTTCTCTGGCACAAAATAATTCTTTTGTTGGAACGGAGTGAGTCTCCAAACTTGCTAACTATGTGGATAGCTGAAGCATCTGTGAGGGATAGTAGATAGACTTTTCATTCATAATTTACTAATCAATATGTATTATCATGTCCTTGTTTATCCTTTTTAAAAAAATCTTACAGGCTGATGTTCCCCAGCCCCTTAGCATCGAGCAAACTGAAATGAGCACCAGGCAAAATTCCAAAACACTGCCATCAGAAAGTGCAATTTATAATAATGATCCCTTGTTCAGGCTTTCAGAAGAGCTTGAAGCTAATACTAACCGAGGACTGGAGGAAAACAAACACTGCATTGTTTATGCTTCCCTGAACCATTCCATCATTGGAAGGAACACAAGACAGACACGAGATGTGCAAGAAGCACCAACAGAATACGCATCCATATGCGTGAGGAATTAACTCTGGTCCTGATACCCATCAGTGATCGCTGACTGCCCAGCAAATCGTCGTCATTGTCTGACCTCAGCAAGATGTCAACAGTCCTTAATGTGTGGACTCCGGTGGTTCATGGTGGTGGCTTGGGGCTTCTGTGTTCATATGGAGTAAAATCTCTCCTGAAAATTTCGTTGGGAGACATTTAACAAGAAATCTTCTCTCTGGAACTGTTTCATAGCATGACTAGAAGAGGAACATTAACATTTAAACTTAATCAAATTTTTACTGAACATGAACACTTATTATTCGCTTTGGTTTTTATCTCAGACTTATAGCAAAGAGGGGTTTGTGCTATCTAGAACACTCACTACAAAAAAGTCTCAATTTGACTAATTGTAATACAGAAATGATTGTTATTTTATAATAAGAAACTCCCCATCAGTCTTCAGCTGCTGTTTCTTATATACAAGCTGTTGTTTCTTATACACTTGAGCTGTGGCTCAAGTGGTAGAGTGCTCGCTTTGAACTGAAGAGCACAGGGACAGCGCCCAAGCCCCACGACCGACAAAAAAGAAAAGAAAATAAAAGAAAGAACTTTAGACTAGATATAGGGAAAAAGTGGAAAGAGCAGCTGGTGGAATATAGGATCTACTAATTGGATATGGGAAAAAGTTTTCTCCATACCTGGAAAATGTGATCATTTTTTCCCTTGTTAGATTGAGGAGTAAATTAGATCTTAATGGAGAAATCAATGTACAATCTACTTATGAGCAGAGTAAGTGAATATGACATAATGCTGCTGGATTGATGCACGTACAGGATCTGAATAAATATAAAACCACTGAAACTAGGCAAGTGCAGACTGAACTTATCAGCTGCCTATGGTTTTACCTGATAGCAAATGAAAAGAGCAAGTAAGGACATGGAGGAGAGGCCAAGGAGTTGTTGACTGTCAATAGGGGGCAACATTTTAGCTTCTGTACAGTGCTGCTGTTCTTATGAAGGAATTCCAAGAAACCATAAGGTTTGCAGTTTATATTCATTCATTTTAAAATGCTGATGTTGCAGCTACTTTAGAGGAGGAAAGTTAAGATTTTCATATTTTCTGAATTTACAGAGTACTTGAGTCTAATTATTTCAGAAATATCCTATAACTTTATTCAGCAGCTAGAAGCTAACTTCTCAGAAGCTGCTACTAAACAAATAATGCAATAATTCCTCATACAAAGCAAAAGTTAGAACCTGCTTGAACACACATAAGAGCTGCTGAACAAATGAATGTGATCCATGTATGTGCATGAATGCATGTAGATATGTATGCACACGTGTATGTTAGTGGATAGCAATAAAAAGGAATTTACAGAAATTGGGACAAAAAATTTATCGAATTGATATTCTTTTTTCAGTTTGCTTATGAAATGCAAAATACTACAGTAGATGAGACAAAGAAAATTTGTGCCAGGCACCAGTGACTCATGCCTATATTTCTAGCTACTCAGGAGGCTGAAAATTGAGGATCCTGGTTCATAGACAGTGAAGGCAGATAAAACCAAGAGGCTCTTATCTCCATTTTTTTGCTGGTTAGCAAAAAGCAGGAAGTAGAGTTGTATCTCAAGTAGTAGAGAATCATCCCTTAGCAAGAAAGCTGAGTGAGAATACAAGACTGTGAATTGAAGCCCCAGTATCATCAGTAAAATGTAAAAGAATGTGTGAAATGAAAATGGGAATGTGAACAGAGAACGCAGCCACAAAAATATGAAAATAGAGTTTTGTTATGCAGATTTTCCTCCATAATACTCAGATTATCTTTAGTTCCTAGGATTTAAGGCTGCAGATATTATTTCTGAGTCACTGTTAGGGATCCAGTTCAATATCATAACACCTAGAATTTTAACCAACCAATTCAATTCTAAATTAGTTCTTTCAGTCAGGCTGCTTTTGTGGACAATTTATGCAAAAAGGACGCTAGAATAGCTGCTTGTTTTCTTCTTAAAAATAGAAACAGGAAATATGGGAGGATGTGGACAGCTCTTATCAGATTAAACATACAAAGCTCAACAATTCTTTCAAAATGGTCTCCAGTTTAAAAAAAACACGTAATTTCTATCTACTGTGATTAAAATAATCTTAACATAGCTCACAATAAAGGATAATGTTATGATTTCACTTAGAAATAATTTATGCTGATATTTGTACCATGCTTGTCAAAAATCACAACTCATTTATACTTTTTGTCTCTATTAATAAAGTGTACCAGAGATGTATGCATATTTCCCTGAATGAATCTATTTTAGTATTATATCTATGTTTATGTCTTTGATTTACAGGTAAGATGCACTTTTCTATGAATTTCAAGCTTGTCAATTTTTCCAAAAGTAACATGCATTCATTGACACTTTCTCGTAAACAATTTGATACAAACTTTTGTACCAAAAAGTATGTGGAACAGTAGAATTGATTCTTGAATTTCATGGCACATGAAGACAACCTGAAGGACCTGTGTACCCACAGATGACCAACTCAGAAATCCTGACTCAGAAACTCTAAGCTCTATCATCTATGTCTTTTCAAAGCAATGTAGGTGATATTTATGTTTTCCAATGTCTGCTATTTGAGAAATCTTGAAGTAGTGACTAACTTTGTGATATTTTGCCTTAATCAGTTTTGTGTACCAAGCAAGATCATGTAGGTCCCATAATAGATTCTCTAGCTCAATAATGTAGCATATCTTCATATATATGCATATATAGAATATAGAGAGAGCACATATCTATGTATCTATGGTACATATGTAACATAAGAGTATATATATATATATATATGTGCATATACACATATAGAGATAGATAGAGACAGAACAGAGACAGAAAGAGAAACAGACTTTTTAAAGATAAGTTTTAGATTCATCAAAACTAAGCAGAGGAAGAGAGTGAGGAAAGATGACATTGTCCAAAAAGAAATGTACTGTTTACCTGACTTATGTAACTGTAATCCCTATGGACATCGCCTTTATAATAACAAAAGATTTTTAAAAGAAACTAAAATATCATTAAAAAACAAAAACTGGGGCTGCGAAGGTGGCTCAGTGGTAGAGTGCTTGCCTTGCATGCCTGAGGCCCTGGGTTCGATTCCTCAGCACCACATAAGCAAAAAGAAAAAAGCCGGAGGTGGCACTGTGGCTCAAGTGGTAGAGAGTTGGCTTTGAGCTGAAGAGCTGAGGGACAACACCCAGGCCCAGAGCTCAGGCCCCATGACTGGACCCAAAAAAATAAAAATAAAAAACAAAAACTAAGCAGAAAGCATATAGATGTTTTCATATCCCCCATTCACACTATGCACAGCCTCTACCTTTAGCATCCTGTACCATAGTGGTATTTACACTAAAACTGAACCAAGGCCAGGTGTCAGTGGCTCATGCCTATAGTCCTAGCTCCTTAGGAAGCTGAGATCTGAGGACTGAGATTCAAAGCCAGCCCAAGCAGTAAAGTCTGTGAGACTCTTATCTCCAATTAACCACCAGAAAATGCTGTGGTTCAAAGTGGTAGAGCTCTAGCCTTGAGCTCAGGGACAATGTCCAGACCCTGAGTTCAAGCTGCAAGACTGACCAAAAACAAAAACAAAAAACAACCCAAAACCAAACAAAAAATACTAAACTAAGCTGTACTGTTATTATTAACCAATCTTTATTTGGCTGTATCATAATTTTTTATTGGAGGAAATCTTATTTGCTTCCAAGTTTTGGTAATTATGGAATTGCTATAAGCATTCTTGTATGTGTCTATGTGTGGATATGAGTTTTGTTTCTTAGTGGAAAATGATGTTCATTTTCCAGTGCTCTTCATACACTTATTTAGCATCTTCTTCGGTGTATCTTCTTTGTTGATACCTCTGTTTCAGACTTTTGTCCATTTTTAATTCAGGCTGTTCATGGTCATATTGAATTTTGTGAGTTTTTTAAAAATATAATTTTGCTGGGTGCTGGTGGCTCACACCTGGGATCCTAGCTACTCAGGAGGCTGAGAGCTGAGGATCACAGTTCAAAGCCAGCCTGGGCAGGAAAGGTTGTGAGACTCTTATCTCCAATTAACCATCAAAAAACTGGAAGTGGTGCTGTGGCTCAAGTGGTAGAATGCTCACTTTTGGCTTCTTAAGGGCAAGGATTATGTCAGATTCCTGTTTATAGCCCAGTGCTTGATACATATTAAATTAACTATTAGTTAAGTAACTTTGAACGAATGAATGTGTTTGGGAAGTAGTAAGTGTATCACTTCTTTGTTATTCAAAAGATATTCCACAACCCAGAAGCATAGGGATGTCTGGGAGCACAGTGTTAATGAAACTCACAGGCTTCACACACTAAGAACCTTAATTTTAGCAAGACTCTCCAATGATTTGTATGCAGATCCCTTAATCCATTTAGTCCTTTTGAATACATCTTTCTCTATCCCAAGTCAAGTGTGGCAGGAAACCAAAATATATTTGTAGACAGACTAATTTGGAAAGTTCTATTTTAGGAAGGTACAGGAAGGGCTTCACCACCCCATCTGGAAAGTAAAAATGGCAAGTGAAAAAAGAAAATATGACTGTTTTATAGAACAGAGATTTGTACTAAGCTTGTGAATATGAGAACTGAAAGTTCTGTGCTAGAAATCAATTTGCAAGTCAAAAGCAAGTTATAGATGTTGATCTTTAAAAATCAGACTCTATTCCAAATCAAGTCAGGGCATAGCCATATGCAAAGTTTTATCAGAAAGTAATTCATGTCCCTTTGCTATTACCTACTAGTTTTCTGGATTCTGAAGTTACATGGTTAGGAAAGAGTCTATTTCTCTCTGACCACTGTTTATAGAACAGCTGAAGAAATAGAAACTAAACAAATCATTATAATTGGGTGGTTCGATGTTACATAATCCAACACAATAGGATCAGTGATAAAGGAGTAAGGGGGTGCCCAGAAATAAAACTATTGAACCAAACTTGTAGCTCACATTAAGTTCCATCTCCCATTAGCTAGAAATAAGCCATAGTACCCTTCAGAAAATTTAAGGGTGTCCCATTTGCTAAAACCCACATGGTAAATAAACATCCTCATTAGGCCATTTAGCTGACAACTCTAAAATATGCTGGCCTTGTGACATCTGATTCCATAGAAGCTTTTAGAACAAATTTCAAATGAGCAAATCTGTTTGTTTTTCCCTTGTAAAATGAACTGCTTCTTGTGAATTTTAACTGTCAACAGTATCTTAAAGCATTTCAGGAGTCTCAAAAAACAATATTAGTAGTAGATACAACACATCGATAGCATGATCACATTAATAGGCATACACAGAGACATATTCATGTCTCTTTGTATATTATACATATAAATAAAAAAGAGGACTCACATTTATCATTAATGATTACAAGACTTACATAAAGTATTTTCAAGTGTGAGTCAGAGCATTCA